AGGGGGTACGTCTTCTGTAGAGGGACGCGGCCAGTCCTACGATGTCCAGGCAGACCCCTCCTCCGATGGCGATGATGGGCTCGGTTCTCCTGTCGATGCTGAAGTTCTGGACTTCTTGCAGGATGTTCAACACCAGGTCCATGGATTTCGTTTCTTCAGTGGTAGGCAGGGCGAGGATTTTGTGCTGGACGTTGTTCTCTTCGAAGTATTCTCTGACTTTGGAGCCATAAAGTTCGTCAACGACTTCATCTATGACAACAAAGCGCCTCAGCTTCCTCTTGCCACTAGTGGCTAGCTCGAGTTGCTGGGGGTCAGTAATGTGACCCCAGAGCAGGGTAGTGTTAGAAGGATCCAGAATATTGTATGTTTCTACTACTTTGTAGCAAAAATAGATGGGAGCTTCAATTGTCCAGGAAATGCCACCTTCAGAGACACACTCACCTCTGGCAAGGATCAGAAAACACGGTTTGAAATCGTTATGTTCCCCTTCTGTACTTTGCATGTCTGAACTAGTTTAAGGACGTAGCTGGGGGTGGGGAATGTGAGGCCTCCTGCCCCTGCACTGCAGAAGTGTGGGGCTGTGAGGGTGGGATGGCTCTCTGGGTGTCAGGGCTCAATTGCTTTGGCACTGGAGAAACCATCCCACAACTTAGAGAACAATCAGATGGCTGAACTTCTACATGGTAATGATAAAATAGAGAGCAAGAAGGGCTGGTGAAGCAATTCATTTTCCTTCCAGTTCATTCATTTGCCAGTAAAACAGCAGAAAAACCCAAACAGACCAACCAAGCTTCCCAAAAGGAAGTGGGGAAGAGATTACTGAAATTTCCCAAAGCTTTTATGAAGCTTTTATCTTCTGCCCAGTGTATCTGGGTGATATGAGTTGATTTATTCCTCCATACCCATACACCACCCCACCCCCCTACAGAACAGTCTCTACAGTTCTCCAGCTGAGCAGTGGACCTCATTGAAGAGTGGATCTCTTTACCTCAAAACAAGTGTGACAGAAATAGGAAGTGCTTCCAGGTAGTTAAAATAAAACAAGTAATTATTTGAGTGTTTATAAAGGTTTCCCTGGTGGAGTTTGAAAGGATAAATAGAAGCCTACAAAGCTGGCATGTAGTGTCTCTCTAAAACAGTGAAGAAGACAGCCCTGCAACCCAGTTATTACTTCTCCTGTTGGAGGGGGGAGCCAGGTGGGTAACAAGTGGCTTTTTTAATTTGTTGGGAACCAGGAAAGGTTTTTTTAATTATTATTATTATTATTTTTAAAAGACAGAACAAAACTGCAAAATTTTTTATACAAGACCTCTTCTTGAAGTAAAAATGGAAAGTTTCCACGAACATTTGGGGTTTATTTTTGAATGAGCACATGGCTCATTGGATACTCAGATTTCAGTATGTGCCCAGTTTCTTTCAACATGCCTGGACTTTCTCTTACAGGTCTAAATAGATGCTTCTCTGTGTTCTTTACCAAATTGCCTCTAGATTTTGCCCTGACTTTTTAAGTGTTGAAGAGCTGTGTGTATCCCTGGGGGCAATTTGTCTCTCTCCTGTCTGAAGCAGCACTGGGTGACTTCTACAGTTTGAATGGTGTGTTACCAGTTTTGTTCCTGTCAGTGACCTGCTGTGTTTGTTTTTCCCATCTAGACATTTATCTGCAACCATCTCTATAAATGCATCCTTCTCCCCTGCCTGAGCATGAGCTTTTGCACACAAAGATTTCCTCTACATACCAATGGGGGGAGAAAAAAGCCCAAAGTGCAGCATTCAGAACTCCTTGCCTAAGCATTGCAAAAGTTTAAAGAAACCTCCCACCTACAAAATTTCAGGCTGTTGATTCAATTTTCTCTGTAATTTGGCCAAGTCACGCTGAGGAGAACAGCAAATACCTGTGCTGCCATGTCACAGACATTTGGAAGGCTGCTTTTGTAAGGATGTACACACAAAGGTGAATTTAAGCTGCAAGGACACGCAAGATGGTATTTCCATCTGAGATGCATCCCACCAAGGAGACCACACAGTTTGGGTAGCCACAGCCCTCCAGCCCAGTTGCCAATGAGCAACGTGGGCTCCTGTACTTACATTTTTGCTTCAGAGAGAGTTATCTTGTCCTCACAGTGGGACAGGGCTTCTCCTTTCTTGATCCTGAACCACGTGCTCTTGACTCGCACCAGCTGGAAGTCTGTCTGCTGGGGTTCCTGGGGCATGGGGGCCAGGACCGCTGGGGCAAAGGTCTCTTCTGACACTGGCATGTTTCCAGAAGGCAAAATCTCCCTGTTAAGAGATCTCCTGTAACTGGGTGCCTTTGAGGTGCTTTTTAAAGGCTGCAGGTGACCAGGCGTTGGAAGGGGAGGTCTTGTCTCCACGGAGAAGACCAGTTACAAAAGTGAGGTTACCTAAGCTGGCACATGGGGGTGGTAGGAGCATCTGACACACGTGCAAGTGTGGGGTTGTATAATCCCTTGGTTTTATGCTTGAGAAGTACAACAGGAGTGCATACATTAAATTCCAACGTGATGCCCTACAGCAAATTTATAGTTATGAAAGGCAACTTGTGTGATTCTCCACGACGTTCAAGAACCTTCTTTGCTGGGCAGAGCCTCTTATCTGGCTGTGACTCTAACCTGCTCTTATGGGGTGAGACAGGAGCAGGAGCATGGGGACGGGATCAATACCAGCTGATAAAACCTCTTTTGAGCTCACATTGCTGGGATGCTCTTGCATTGAGAAAAGGAGTGATTTTTTTGTTGCTGTTTTTAGTTTTTATGGTGAGTTGAAAGAAATAATCAGAGTTTATCTTCTGTAGGGCTGTTTGGGGGATGAGCTGAGTTTAGATTCATTTTCCTGGGGACTCTGAGATGCTGAGGTTTCCCTGTGGTGGAGTCATTCCAGGATGAGCAGTGTGGACCTGGCAGTGGTGTCTGAGAATTCCCCTCTCTAGGAAGCAATGTCATGCTGGGGGCCCACACTGGCAGTGGTGGCCAGCACCTTGCTCCCCATGTAACCAAGGGATGCACAATTCACCTTTCCATATGATCTTCCAGCTGGGGCTTTCAGAGGGCCCCGGGCTCAGCTTGCCACACCAAACATTCCCTTGGTCTACAGCTCTGTGTTCTGAGCACAGGGAGACATCTTCCTTTGATTTCCCCAGCAGTGCCTGAAGGTACAAACCCATCTCCGCTGTCTTCTTGGCTGTGTTTCTGAAAGCCATCCTTGTTCAGAAACAAAGATCAAGAAAACCAAAATCAGGCCTAAAAGAAGTGGCTGGAAATAATGGTTCTTCAAGAGCCCACAGGATGAGACCACTTCATTGCACTGAAGGTTTGACTGCAGCCAAACTCGCTTAGGAATCTAATTTATCTCAAAATTAAATTTGGGAAAAAGCTACAAGGTTTAACTCTGGAGTCATATAGCCCTGTTCAAAAAAGGGCAATAACTCCTAACATCTAGTTCTTTCTGCTGGCTTCATCTCCAGCTGGCAAAGTGCTCTGCAGAGAGCACAGACTGTTATCCCTGTTTTACAGGACAGGCAAAGAAGAGAAGCAACTTGCCCAAAGTCACCTCCAGAGCTAGTGGAGGGTGGACTAGATGCCATACTAAAGCTTTTAGCCTGTTTACCAAATACTCCTCTGAAATTTCAACTCCCAATCCAAACACAATTTGGATTGTTTTCCACAGAGGCTGCAGGTTTGCTGCAGTTTGTTGTTTACTAAATCATAAGATGGAATACTCTTAGGTATGCAAGGAGGTCTGTTCTCGTCATCTTGTTTATTTGTTTTGATTAATAGCAATCCACTGAGCATTGGGACTTATTTTATTTGCTTTTCTTTCACTCTTTTGTCCTGTGCATTTACTTATTTCCCATGTATACCTCTCGGTTCTATTCCAGGGGTGTTGAAATATCTTGTGTTTTGATTCAGAAGTTGACAAACAGACTTTCCAATGTTTTTCTGCTTGCTATAGCCAAGGACTGCCATGTCCTGGTACCATCCATCCTGTGGAGGGGCTGCCAAGAGCCTTGCAGCAAAGACTTGCTCCCCACAGCCTCACCTCCTTCACCTCCTCTGCCCAGCTCCAAGCTCTCTCAAGGTGCTTTGCAGGTACATTGAGCTGGTCCTTGACTGACCAAGCCCGGGGTGATACATCCCAGAGGTGAAAGGTGCTGTTCTGGTTATGGGGTAGTCCACGTTTCCTCATTAGCTTCAGTCTGGGTTTCATCTCTGTGAAAAGGAGACAGCTGGCCAACCTCAACTTCATCACCTACTCTTTAATCACTTTGCTTTAATTCCCCTCCAGCCTTGCTGCAGGCCAGGTTAGGCTTCTGGGTACCTGGAATATTCCCACTGGTTCCTCCTGATGCCTCCTCCAGCCAGTGCATCCCTGGGACCCTTTCTGGGGGTGCAAGTCAGCTGGTACCCAAGTGACACAACCTCCCCCAGCCCATGTGGAGACCTAACTTCTGAGCTGGAGCCCAGAGCAAGGGGTGCTCTGGAGTTTGACTGTGTGGGCAGCAGTGATCTCATAGATATGGACCACTTGTAGGTATTCTGGGCTTCAAAGTTCTGGGACTTTTTTGGCTCCTACCTCATGGTTTAGCTGGGACACATGTCTATGCTATGTGACCAGAAGGTTATGAAACTGCCAATGATCTCGTGGAGAGCCAGCAGGTTCCTGAGGTGAGGATGTGAACACTGCTCTTACATAAAGCAGAGGAATTGAAAGCTGGGTGGTTTGGATTTTTTCCCCTTTCTCTCAGATGCTGTTGGTTCTGCACCCGCTGCCTGTGCTCTGGGCGGGGCGGGTGCAGCTGGAGTGGGTGCAGCCCCAGCCCGGGGCCATCCTCCCTGCACAGCCTCTCACCAGGCTGGGGCTCAGCCCAGGTGACGCTGGGTGGAGAAGCCCAACCCCTGGACAGACACCTGAGCACCCAACGTGCTGCTGGGCAGAGGCAGCAAACCCACAGCAGCATTCTCAGAGGCCGGGGGACAAGAAGCAACATGCACAATCCTGCAGGTAAACTCCCTGTGTGGGGTGGGGAGCTCCAGGAGAGATGGGGTGACAGGAGGGGACACCATGTGATGTCTCAGTCCTGGGTCCCCTGCCACCCTGCAGAGATGTGACCTACAGGCTCTGTGGCTTGTCAGAAAGGAGCAGAGGATGGGTTTGCCTGGGAGAGGAGCTGGAGGCTGAGCAGGGGAGGTGGGTCTGTAAGAACCTGAAGTGGAGGGAGGAGGATGTTGCCATGAGAAAAGGTTGGGTGGGAAGGTGGACACTCACAGTGCCAAGAGAGATTTAGCTGGGACTAATTTCTGATGGACTGGGATGCTTGGTTTATAAATATATTTTATGCATCTTCAACTTTGCCATGGGGCTTTCTGTGGTAGCCACGTGTGCCTGGGGTGGCACCCACAGGGAGATGTCTGTTGATGTTTTTGGCTGTTTTCTACGATCGACAGCTGCTTTTTGGGAATGCAGGCTTCTCTGAGTGGAGAGATTCTGCTCTCTCAGCCTGAGCTAAAGCCCTGAAAAGACTCCCCTTGACTGTTTTGGGCTTTGGAGCTGAGTGTCTGTGGGTCCTGCTCACTCCTACCACACACAGCATCCTCTGCTATGCATGAAAACAAAGGTGTGCTTGGCATGCTCTCTGCCAGGGACTCCAGAGCCTCCCCAAAGCAAGCAGAGGAGTGCTGGGGACCATCCAGCTTTGCCACTTCTTTACTTGCAGGAGAGCCTGTAGAGAACACATTGGCTGACATGTATGTCCTCACCTTCCCCTGAAGTTCAGGCAGAGTTTAGCACGCTGGTTCCTGCCAGGACCAGCAATTTCCCCACCCTGATTGCTTCCTCCTCATGCTCCTGCTCCACCCCTAAGCCACTGCCTCTGCCCTTGCCATCGCTGCTCACTTTGCTGCAGGCTCTGGCACTGCTGCTGCAGAGGTGAAGCACTGGCTGAGCTCTGCTCAGGACCCCCTGCAATGTTTCATGGCCAGGCAGCTGGGTTGGGCCCTTGCTGCCCGCCCACTCTTGGTCCCAAATGGGCTATGGGGTTCCTGTGCCTGGCCCATGAGTGGTGGGTTTGGAGTCATCGAGTAGCCCCAGGGGTGCCACAACCACAGCCCTGCTCCCCTCTGCTACAGCTCCATCTGAGTGGGACACACACCACGGCTGGGTTTGATGTGGTTGAGTCAAGCAGCAGCATTGGGTCTCCTGAGAGGCTGCAGGTTTGTGTGCAGGGTTCTGATGGGAGAAGAAATAGCTGGAGCATTGCATTGTGGTTTCCAAGAGCAGAATTGCCTTGTAGGATGCAATAGCTGAGGGCTCTTTACATGCTAAGACAAAGTGGTGACTGGTGTATAAGCTGTTGTCAATGTCTGAGGTGCCTTGGTCAGTATGAGGGCTGGGGCTGCTTGGGGAGGGTTTAATCAGAGTGGATTGCTGAGTGTTTAGCACCAAGCAGCTCCTGCTGCAGTGCTTGGTGCTCACCTGGATGTGACAGTGCTCATGTGGATGAGGTTCCATTCTCTGCCCTGGCTGGGAAGGGGACCTCTTCTGGAAGTTATTCTGGGGCTCCAAATAGATGCAAAATAGGTAAAATGAGAATAGCCAAAAAGATCCAGTCCTGCACCTTTGGATGGAGCATCTTTGCTTTGTTTTTGCCAAATCCAGAGTGCCTTCTTGTGCACTGGTCTCGGTGCTTTCTTCTTGGCAACTTCTCTTTTCTTGGCTGAGTTCCCCCTGCCCAAAAAGTGCCCTCTAAAGCCTAAGCTGCAGAGTTTAATTTTACTTCTGGAGCAGTGTGTCCCTCTGTGGCTCTGCACTGCCTGTCTGCTCAGGGGATGCTAAAAACAGCCCCCCACACAGCCCTCACCAGCACCCTCACTCCTCCTGACTAGAACCACAAGTGCCCAATTCTGGAACAAGTAGAAGGTGAGATCTGTTATTTGGCTTTGTTGTAAAACAGGCTGAGTGTGCTCCCAGCATCTGCACAGGGAGATGCTTGGAACCATCCTGCTGGCAACTGTGGTCCATTCCAAGGGCTGCTACTGTATGGGTTTTTTTATGAGGCTACAAGAGGCTTCAATCAGCCCTTTCCTGCTCTGCTTTGCACGTGGCAACGTTTTCTTCCTTTGAGTGAGCTCCTTTTTCTCCATTTTTTCCTTGTATTCCTGGAATAGGTGATGCACAATTAGATGGGAAAGGGAAAGAGATGTCTGTGCATTGATAGAGCCCTGGGGAGACAGCCAGGCAGTTTAGTTCAGTGCTGAATACAGTCCAGCAGCTTTGCTGGGGTTGTGCAGTAAACCTGAAGTACTTCTCCTGGAGTAAGATAGCACAAATAAAACAGTAGTCATGTAATTTTTCACTCCCCTTAGTGCTTGGAGCCTCGAGTGCAGCCAGCCCTGAGCTCTGCTCTGACTTGTTGGGAGGTTGCATAAAGGAAGGCAATTCTGACCTCTGCTGTTGGCCCAAAGCATCATCAGGCTGCAAAAGTTGGATTTTTTCCTGCAGATTGTATAATCTGAGGTACAGAGCTGATCTTGGCATGTGCTGCACACTCTCCCTCCCCGGTAGCACTTCTTGGGGCTTGTGCTTGGTGTTATAACACAGGTTACAAAACAGCTGGAGGTCAAACTTGCCTTCCTCCCCCTCGGGTGACAGGGGAGCCTTGTCTGTTGCTCATCCAGACGTGTGTCATGCTGATTACTAAAATCCAGCATGGATTATAAACGTGACTTTTCTCCCCTTAAACTAACAAAAAGCCTCAGAGCACGTGGCTGGGAGGAGAAGCAGATCCCAACCTCCAGCATCCTGCAGCTGCATGGTGGAGTCTGGAGATGTTCACTCAGGTGGTGGTGAAAACACTGTGAAAAGACAACGTGTCTTCACACAATGGGTGGCTGGGCTGAGGTCAACAAACTGACATGGTCTGGGAAGGGGGGGGTGGCTCCTGTGCTTGCAATTGATTATAAAGCTGCTGCAAAAGGTAGAAGGCACCCTTGGTGGTGGGAGATTGGCAGGAGATGTAAATCAGAGGCTGCTGCAGCCTGAATCTGCCTTCTTCATATGTCATGATGGGCTACTGCCACAAGCACAATGCTGTTCAGATGACCTCTAAATCTGATCCAGGCTGGTCATTCCCATGTGAAATGTGCATCTATTTTACTTTCTTTGCTTTCGTACTTGTTTCTGGTAATTTAGATACCAAAAATGATTGAAGTTGTCTCAAAAACCAACAGAGTTTACAGCTAGAGAGAGGTGAGAAGTGCTGCTCTGAGAAGCAGACCTTTGGGGACGTTTGGACATTTCCTCATTCCCAAAGACATGAGTTTATTCATGTGATGCCCCTTGGTACTAGGGGAAGCAGTGGTCCCCAGCAACTGGAAGCCCTTTTGGTGATGAGGTGATGACAAATTCCTAAGATCTGCCATTACATTTGCCTTCATACAGTCCTTCTCCACAGCAGGACGTGGGGGCATTGCCCATGAGGTGACACCCCGATGTCTTTAGTGGCTTTATACCAAAGCTCTGCCAGCAGGGCAGCTGGATGCCTTCTGTGGTGTCCAAGACCTCACCAGAAACCTGTCCTGGGCTGTCCACGGTGCCTGCAGCAGCAGCAATTCCACGTGGACTTTGCCCCACAGCTGCTGGGCTGGTCCAGGCCACTCCTCCAGAGGAAGCACGTTCTCTTTTCACCCGCTTCACTGCAGCTTTTCTGTCACAGGGAATAAAATGCAGCCAGGGGCAATCTGCTCCACCCCAGTTATACTCACAGCCTGCTTGTCCTCTGTATCTCAAGTCTGGTCTCACTGGTGCTTTCATAACCCAGCACGTGCTCTTACACTTGAGGAGCAGGGGAGTTTCTTCTGAACCATGTCTCACTTTGTGGGGCTGTAGATTGCTGAGCTCCACATTGCATTGCTGCCATAGGGGTTTTCTGGGGTCTCAGGGCCAGCACAGTGCTGTGGGCAGCATTGATTTTGCCCCCAGGGCAGGTTGAAGGAAGAAGAAGGGTTAGGAGGTTGTATTGCTGCCAGGGTGATTGCTACATCTCCTGCTTAAAAACATTCCTTGAAGGGAGTCTTTTAGGTTTATGCCATCATGGATTTGGCATAAGAATTTTTAATTTGAGTGTTTGTTCAGCTGTATTAGGGCAGGTGGAACTGTCCAGGCACGAGCATCGTGGGTTGCTCTGCAGACTGCTCAGCAGCTTCCACCATGGACAAGAGTTGGGGGCACTTGTCCACCCCGTTGGCAGATCCTCCTTTTTACACCCCTAGATCTGGTGCCTGCAGGTCCTGGCCTGGCAGGATCTGCCTGTTTTTTGGGGAGCACTCTGTTTTCTCCAAGGAAAAACCTGCCTAGAGGAGTGGGTTTCGTATGCGGTCATTTGGTGTTCAGTGTTTGTCTCAGAGCTTCAGAAGTCAAAATTCATGGGTTTGAAATATTCTTATCCTTTTCCTCTCAGAAAGGTATCAGCTGTGAGGGGAAATAGGGAGAATGATTGCAACAAAAATGAATTAGAAGCATAATAGTTTTTCAGTTTGAAAATGTTTCCATTATTGTTTCTGTAGTCCTTCAAAACCCTTTATTTTGTAGGAAAGAAAAAAACCAAACACTTGGGTTTTTTCTTTCAGCCTAAATTCCTCTTCTGCTGATTTGAGCAGAGGTGCAATTATTGCTTTTCCTTGTATGTTCCATTTCAGAAAGCCCAGCTGGACTCATTGCTGAGAACCTTCTGAAAGCCAAGGAAATAGCCCTCAACGACTCTCGTGTTCCTGAGCAGCTCAAGAATTACTTACAGAAAGCTCTTGATGTTGCTCTTGGCCTAGACCCTTACCTGGATGCAATGGCAGCTTCAAAGAGGTACAGATACTCCTTCATAACCTTGGGCTTTCTCTTGTGACCGTGTGAACACGTTCTTAGATTTTCTGTTCAGAATATGCCATAAAGATGGGAGACAGGGGAAGGAAGAAGAATGAGAGTTACCATGAATGAATGCTACCAACTGACTATCTACCCAGGGCAATGTTGGCTCGTATCCTGTGAGAAATCAGGCAGCCAGGTTCCCCACAGAGCCTGCTGAAAGGCTCAGAGAACGAGCCCCTGGATCAAACTGGGGATAAATAAAGAACGAAGAAAATCTGCACCTCTGGATCCACCCTATAATAACAGCCTTTATATGCAGCTTTTATCTTCAAGCCCTCAGCAAACATTAATTAATCTGCTAACTAAATTACTCTAGTAACTAAACTAATTAATTAAACTAATTTAAGGTATCATTAATTCAGAAGTCTAACCGATACCCTCATTATTCTTTTTTTGAGCTGCAGTATGTTATCCAGCCATGTGGGGTCTGCTAAACAATTCCCATTTATCAGTGTTGGTTTTGATATGTGGAAAAAGCCAGTTCTGCCTCAAATTGACAATGTGTAAACTGTTCCAGGCTGTGCATCACGGGAACGTGGAGCCTTCGTTCTGTTGCTGAAATAATAGCTGAGAGTTGTTTGACTTACGCTTGCTGTATGATAATAGCTATACATTATCTTATTAAAGTTGTTAAAGCATTTGTGAGGGGCAGAAAAGAGGTTATATGAAATGTTCTCCTCTCTAAGTCTTGGATTATCTGAGTGTGGCTGACACGGGTTATGAATTCTTTCTCATTTTACTGAGGAGTTGGGGCTGGGGGGAGCTGGGGAAAAAAAGAAAACTGAAATTGCTCTAAATTCTGGTCCATAGAAGGATCACCAACAATTTCTGGTGGTTACTTTCTTCAGATAGGGCAATCTGATCTGTCTGGAGACTGTGGACTTCTTTCAGTCTTCTCTTCCACTCTCTTTGTAATACGTAGCATCTCACTTCAGCCAGAGTTCTTGCCACAGCTCTGGCTTCTGTGAAAGAGCATCCAGACATACCTTGTTTTTCTCAACAGTTTGTGAGGAAAACCATTTTTTTTCCCCTGTTTTGCCCAAAATTTTAGATTTCATATCTTCTCCTCTTTTCTGCAATGAAAACTTTTCTTGGCTGAGAACCCTACCACCCTAGAGCTGAACAAAACCTGGCCAGGGTAGCTGGGGCCATTTACTGCAAACCACAGAGAGATAGGCACCTGTCTGGGAGCAGCTGGAAATGGGAAAAATTGGGGGTTGAACAGTGAGGAACACTTTCCTTTGGTCTCACAGCCCCTTCTTCCCAAGCCACCAGCACCAATACTGGCCTATTGCCAAGCCAGGTCCTCTTAGGACTGTAATTTAGGGATATTTGTAATGCTTCTGGGCTAATTTGTCATGCTGATGCACAGACAGACCTTTTCCAGGAGTTCCCTCTTGGTTGCTGTTTTTTTGTGCAGGATGCTCAGATTTTGTTTGTTACCATAATGTTGAAATTTCTTTCTTTTTTTTCCAGAAAAACATCACCTGACCATGGTTCAGGGAATGCTGGAGGAACTGAAACCAGAGTTAAACTGCAGGAAGAACGTGCCTCTGGCTCTCTGAATGGCAAGTTGGTCAACCAAGAGGACAAAATTGCACCAGATTGGTGTAAAGGTTTTCACTGAAGTCCATCATCCTCTACTCCATCTTGAATGGAGAAAGGATGGAAATGCTCAGAAAATGTGGAAAATGACTTATAAAGAAAGATAAGATCTTCCTGTAGGCCTTGATCTTCCTTCTGCATGAATTTTCCATGTCCTTAATGTCTTGTGCCCACGCACATGGTTGTGAGCATTTCAATTCACAGTGCCAGCCCTCTTAGTGAGCAACAAAGAGGTCACCATCCTCACTGGTGGGGAAGGCAGGCAAGAATCACATTGGTTTAGGTTTGGTGGTGTTTGAGAGGTGCTTTTGTGGTGGAGGTGGCCTGTGGCCGAGCACTGCACCTTTCCAAGTAAAAATACCCAGGCTTGGATCCCCATACAAAGCCTATTACACTAAATCTATTCCCATATTCATGCTTCCCAGATGTTCCCATCTTTTGAGTAATATATCATTGCACTGAAGTACTCTTATAATGTATTACACTAATACATTGTTCGAAGGACACCACTGATGATAAATTTCTTAAATGATGGTGCTGTCTGGGGATAATGACTCTAAGAGCAAATGCAAGGTAATGTAGTGATTTTTTTTTAACCCCGTTCCAGAAAGAATATGGAGACATCTTAAAGCCATTTTCATATGGGGGGAATGTTAAAATATGCAATATTTCAAGCACTATTTAACAAGCACTTGAACAATAGCAGCATTGATGATAAAGGTTCTACGTTTAAAACCAGTCCCTTTATTCTGTTGTCTTTTAGATGCATTTTAGAGGAAATTTTGTCATATTCTGTTGTCAAACCCTTATTTAAGAGTGTTTTAAGATTAGGGTGGTTTTTTTTTTTTAATGATCAGTTAAAAGGTACATCTCATTTTCATTGCAAACAAGCTACAGTCTTCCTCTGATTTTATTTCTCCATTTTCAATCTTGCCTTTCAACAGGCCGAATTTTTAGGATGGTTATTCATATGATCAGAGCCAGGAAGATTTTATTAATTGGCAAGCTTCGAGGTGACAGTATCCTTGCTCTGGCAGAAGAATTGCCAGATGATGGCAAAGTCGTGGTGTGTGCAGAGGTGCCCTGTCTCGGAGTGAACAGCCAAGAAGCACTGGGTCATTCTGCAGATGGCAGGAAGATAAGCACACGAGTGGGACCCATGGCAGACACTTTGGAGGTAAAGTCATTTGGAAGGGGAGTTTGGGAACTCTTGTGCAGTGCAGATGAAAGAGTTTCAGGCAGGTCTGATGTCCTGCCCATAAAATGCTAGATGCTGACTCTAGGTTGCTTGCAAATACATGAACATGCTCTTGCACTGGAGTTATTTCTTATTCCTGACAATGTAGGATGGGACAGCTCTGTCAAGATTCTTTTTTTACTTTTTAACTAAAATTCTGCAGCTTTTTGCTCAGAGGAATCACAAGCTCTAAACATAGGTTGACAGGCAGAATTTTACTGGATGTGGGTGGGCTTTGTTTCAGGGTCTCTAGTTCCAAATATAACAAGCTGGAAGAGGATAACCGTGCCCTGCTGAGCCAGCTCTTGAGGACAGCTTGCTCTTCTTCACAAGAATTTGGAAAGTCCTGAAGATGTATGTAATACAATTACAATCTCTTACTATTTTACCCTCCTGAAAACACTGTGGGCAATTAGAGCCCAGGTTTCTCTCTTCCAGAGCAATGTGATAAGCTTCAGACAGGCCAAATGCATCAGCTATATCTGCTTCATATATCTATCTACATCTGCTTTGGCACTGGAACGGGCTGCCCAGGGAGGTGGTGAAGCCATCATCCCTGGAGGGGTTAAAAAAACAAGTAGATGTAACACTTGAGGCTGTGGTCTAGTGGTTAGGGAAATGTTGGGATGAAGGTTGGACTTGATGATCCTGGAGGTCCTTTCCAACCATAGCGATTCTATGATTCGTTCTGAGTAGCAACTTTGTCCCAATAAAAAGAAAAGCTTATGATTGCCAGTAGCTAGAGGAGCCTCCCTTTTAATTCCAGATCATGGATCTCCAGGACATTGCTGCAGGACCAGCAGGCTCACAGGTGATGCCTGTGCCAGGCTCATTAAACAGAAAGCCTTTCTATTATTAATGGAAACCAATTTGACCTGATTCCATTTTCAATCTGGATGTATCAGTGTGAGCTTGATTGCAACTTTGTTTGCATTAACAGGTACCATATTTGTTTCTGAAATGGAATGGCCAGGAGCTTTCTGACCTCTGGCTTTCATGACCTCTAAGTTTGATAAGAAAGAAACAAAGAGCTTTGCCAAGTATATGAATAAAGGAAATGTTACAGATCACCTGCAATGTGCAGCATTTAAAATCCCAGCTCCCCACAGTGAGTGTGAAATTAATTGAATTGCTGTTGCTCTCTAGTGCCCACTCTGTGCAACTGACTTACTGTGACTGAATTAAAATATCTAGAGGCAGGCAGAGGACATGCTGTGTGGAGATTAAAGAAGGGAGCCAAGACATGAAAATTAAATCCTTAAAACAGGACGTGGCAATTGATTTTATATCCTCCGATCGCAACGTGGAGGCACATCCTGACCCTGGTTCTGCAGGGACTCAAAGGGCTCTTGGAGCTGGTGGGACCAGAGATGCTCATGTTTGGCAGGAGAGACCCCAGCACTGGGGACACCTCCCCCTACAAGATTTCTGCACTGGGCTCTCAACTTTTGTTCCTCAGCCTGGTAGATAGATACCTGGTCATTGCTATCAGGACAGCCAGGGTTATCCTGTGGATCTTAATCCTCAGTGGCTGCAAATGATGAAGCAAAGCCTTGTGTGGCCTCTCTGATGCCTTTGCATTTTGGGGTCATTGAGGTTTGCCTGCCTGGAGTGTGGCAGCCGTGTGGGAACACACGTGGATGCATGGAGGAGGCTCAGGCTGTGAACAGTGTTCTGCCTCTTCCTTCCTAGAGAAGACCAGTTTAGGTTGGAGGCCAAGCAGGCTTCCTCCACTGCCCCGTGAGCATGCTGAAAGGCAGGAGGAACAGGCAGTCACAGGCAAGAGATGGGCCAGGGAGGTCTCAGCCAAGCTGTCACAGCTCAGCTTCATGGAAGAGGTGGAAAACAACAGTATTTCTGTCCTACATCATCTGCAGGCAGAGCTGGCTAACAGTTGTTGAAAAGTGTGGTGAGATTTAGCACAGCTGGAGCAAACCCTTGTTGTCTATGGTGTCTGCAGCCCTGGGTTTCACTTTTGCCTCTGTAGAGAAATTGGAGGGCAGAGATGATTCCCTACTACTTGCTCTTTGGAGGTATCTGCTGCAGCGTCCTTGCTGTGGTGCTGATGGCTGAATTCTGCCTCTGAGCTGAGTGCAACAGGGCAGCATTTCTGCTTGTCATAGAATAATTTTGTTTGGAAAGGACCTCCAGGATCTTCAAGTCCAACCTTTATCCCAAAATTTCCCTAACCACTAGACCACAGCCTCAAGTGCCACATCTACCTGTTTTTTTTAACCCCTCTAGTGATGATGACTCCACCACCACCCTGGGCTGCCCCTTCCAGGGCCTGACCACTCTCTCAGTAAAGAAATTCTTCCTAATCTTCCTTATCTGCTGCTCCTCAGATTTCTGCAGGAGTGCAAGATAGTGGGAGCAGAAGATTTGCCTTGCTGCATTGGCTGTTCCAAAGCACAGAAATGTCATACGTTATATAAATCACACTCCCTGGAAGGGAAGTCCCTTTCTGCTGCACGAAGCTAGGATTCAGGAAGTCCAAACTGCCAAAAAGTGTGTGATGTACTCCCACTTCTAGGGCAGAACCAGTCCACCCAGGAGTTGTATCCTAGCCTTGGGTAGAGAGCACCATCCAGGTGCTGCAGGATGCATCCAGTGCTGGGTCCACATCTGCTGTCGATGCCCTTTACAAGGAATTCTGCCAGATGTTGCAGCAGTTGCCAGAAGGATGTGACACATCTGTGCCTGCACGCCTCAGACAGAGGGGCCTTTGTGGCACCCACGTGGCTCTGGCTCTTCCACCTACAGCTGCAGCTCCTCAGGGCTTTGAGGGAGTGGAGAGCAGAGCAGAGGCAGCACATCAGTCCTCAGCAGCTCCCTGAGCAGCCTTTCTGAAGCCTCTTGCTGCTCCCTTGCATTATCACACAGTGTTGACAGGGTTGGCCAGAGCCAGCTGCACAACATCTGGGATTCTGAGCTGTCAAAGGATGATAAATACCAGACAGGAGCCACAGAGCTCAGGTAAATGGTGGGGCTGGTTTTGTACCTGAGGGCACAATGGCAAAAATCCCCCCTGCCCAGGTGTGAGGGACAGACCTTGCCACGCTAGGCTGGCTCCCCACCAAGGCGTGTGGCTCACATGCACCATGGCACAAGCCCCTGTGCACAATGACCTCAGTAATTTTTAGATAATATATTGAAACGTGGACTGGGGGGAAGCTTTTCCTTGGGTGCCATCTCTGACAGTTGCTTTCAGTGGGAGCTGGCTGCCTCTTCCACCTTGTGCTGGAAACGTTGGAAAACCTTTCCCAAGAAGCCCCTTCAGACTAAACTCTGTGGTGCTGTACCTGAACAACGTCCCTTGCCACGCACGAGCTGGGAGCAAGGGGCCTGAGCCTGCACAAAGAGCTTCCTGCAATCCCCAGTGGACTTCTGGTGGAACAATGGATGCGGGGATTGAGTCCAGAGGGAATGCAAACTCCCAGGAAATTATTCCCATCCATGATTTTGAGGCTTCCATTTTAAAATGGAAAACACAACACGGAACAGAACACCGTGTTTGCAGGAGATTCAGCTGATTGCAGGGCATTGTGTGAGCATGTCGGGGGGTTCTTTTTTCTTTTTTCCCTCCTTTTACCAGACAGAATAGGTGAAGAGGTTGAGCTGCAGATCTCATTTCTCCTGTTTTGCTGCTTGTGAAGTCTGCCAACAGAATCCACCTTGACAAAGTCAAGGACTCTGCGTTTAATGTTGAACTGAGTGAATAAATTATGCATGAAATTGTGTCGGAGTCTCTAGTGTGCAGAATTGCTCCTTTTGATATGAAAGGTTAATTCAGAAAGGAGTCCAAAATAGCTGGAAATTGTGGGGATAAGTGGATAGTATTCACTGTTGTGAGCTGTTATTACTAGAAATTGCATTCCCTCTCTAGCTTCCCCAGAGATTTAGCTTTGCCGGTGAATATAAACTGTACTCAATAGAATAGCATTTAGGAGTAACAAGAGTGTATGTCCACATACAGTAAAATATTCTAATGGTGTTTTAAAAGGAAGCTGTACTTTTTCATGTGTTCTGGGTACCCTAAGGACGGATGGCTATTACATTTAGGTCAAGAACAAGGCATAGGGAAGGTAATAAGTTTTGAGTACATCTTTATTACAAATCTGCTGACTGTATGATCCATGTCAAAGGAGCTGGACAGTCGGGGTTTTTTTATCCTGATGGAGTTTGTATGTGCCTTATGAGAGAGTGTTGTCTCTGACCAGGACTCCAGGCAGGTTTTCTCTGAGCTTTGGCAGGAGATTAATTCATGTTTTTGTTTGGGATGTCCTCTCCTTGATCTCTTGCCTTATCTGTCAAGAGTGCTGCTGTGCCCTTTCTCATGCTTGCTTTCAGTGCATCTCCTCTATGGAATGTAGTGTTACAAGTTGTTTTTTCCCTCTTTTTAATCCAAAAGGAAGTTAATGACTCACTGTAAGCACAGGCGTTAATTTCAGCCAAGTTTGCTCTGAATTAAGAGACTTCTTGTTGCCATCTGTTACCATCTATGATGCCTCTGTAGCAGGGAGCAGGGATTACACTGTAAACAGTCAGGAAATTAGTTTCAGCGGGATATTTTGCAGGCAGATTATTTCCTTCTGGATCTCAGCTTTCCGCACAGTTGGAGAAGTTTGGGCTTTGCATCTCTCCCAGCAGAGGACAAAAGCATCTCCCATGAGCTGTGAGGTCCCAGGCAGAGCCTGGACCAGTCTGCTCTGGGGAGGGAAAAGGTGGTCAATCCCTCCTCTTAAAACTCTCATCTATTTTGAGAGGGAGAGCTGAGAGTTCTCTTCTGCATCACTGCACCAATATTTCCACAGTCAGAGCTACCAGTAGAGCATCTGTTTTTCTTTCTGGCTGTCTTGGTTCAGCCGCAGGTGCTGGC